CATTTAATGTTTCGTAACCTGATTCCATAGCTATGAAGTGGGAATAATATTACTAGTGCTGCTGATAAAATCCCTAAAAGAACAAAAAGCACTTAGTTCAGTGACTGATTGTAGCAATACTCAGTATATCATCATCATCATCATCATCATCAATCATCATCACTACTACTACTATATACCTAGTTCGGTTGCTTATATTGTTGCCTGTGAGGGATGATACACAAGACACACAGACATTTAATCCAAGTTGCACCAGCTCTGACTCCAAACCCTGTAGAAGAAAATCATTTCCTAACTCAGTAGTCAGCACGGACCTCACAAATGTCTCCATCGTTTCTCTTGGAAATCCTGACGGTTTTGTTGTGAAAATAAATTATTATCCAATCGCTAAAACTCATTTCTAATCTTTAATAAATCATAATCCAGTCACCTAATATTCTAAACACATTTCTAACAGAATGTTTCTGGTGGCTTTCGCTTTGTTAGTTTTTTACCAAATTGCAGCCACTGTGCACACCGGCTCTAGGCATCCCAGAGAGTCACTGCCCTGGGGGCCCTGGGGAATCAAAGCTGCCTTCATAATAACGCGAAACACTGGCTGTCTTTTTAACTGTGTTGACATTTACACACGAGGTGCAAACGCAATGGTGGATAGAACTGCAGATGCCTCAGCACAGATCAAACGATACAATTATTCCAGCAGTAACTGTTATTCTTCACTGCCAGGCACTTGTGGTCAAAACACAGGGCCAGTTTCACTTAAAAACTGAAGAAATTTCTTTGAGGAAATAGCAAAATTATTAATTTTATTAACTCCAGACTCTTAAATCTTGATGTCTTTTCCATGTTTTATGTGACAATGGTGGAAGGTACACAAAGAACCATCGATCTGCCCTAAACATACTGTTGTTTCAGAGAAAACTATGTGTGAGATTGAGTTGCGAGCTGAACTAGCTGCTCTATTTATGGAATATGATCCTTAAAGGCAAGAACAGCTGACAGAGAAACTGTGCTTTTTTAGACTTGAGTACATGGCAGACATTTTCTTGTTGTTGTTTAAAAATGAACAAAGGAAGCCTGATACTTCAAGGTAAACAACTAATAATATGTGTTACAAATGATCGAATCTGAACTGTTAAAGAAAATTCAGAGTTTGGAAAACTCTAACCATCACCACGAGATCGAGAGCCAATGCACTTAGAGACACTTACCCTTATCGCTTATGCCAATATTTTCCAATGACCAATGCCTGATACTTCTAAGGCATGCACAGGTAAAAGGTCCATTCAGAATGCAAGACAAGTGAGTATTTTTTTAAAAAAACAAAGTATGAAAAGTTCACCAATAGAGTTTCAGATTTCACACTGCAACTGAGTTTTAAGAAACTGCCATGCGTGGAGACCTAGTGTAGTATGAAAAGAAAATTGACAGTTACCTAAAAAGGACGTCGAAGTATCTCTCTCTGATCCAACTCCACATATCTGAGTGAGGATCGATTCTTTGCATGCACTTTAACCAAAACAACAGACTGTGACAGACTGAATGATATTTAAGAATCCAGCTGCCTTCTCTTAAGCCAGATAATAAAGAGATATATGAAAATGTAAAATAATGTCTCTTTTCCTTATTTTCGGTTGGCAAAATAAAGTTTTATTTATTACATAAAAATGTTAGATGTTTAATGTGATTTTTAAATAAAGTAATAAACATTTCAAAATTTTCTCAGTTCTAATGTTCACGTGATAAATATCAACAGACGAGACACACCTAAGCAAAAGCTCTCTGCATCCTCGACAACGTCTAAGAGGAGAAAGTATTCCTGAGATCAACAAACCTTGGGAACCATGATCTGCACACATATGCACTATTTCTTTCCACTTAAACCCTAAGTTCTGTGGGAGACCGCCCAGTCCAGTCAAGTTCCCCTTTCCCCTTGGAGTTTTCTGCCAATTCTTCGTTCCTTTGGAGGGCAGAGATTATTGGTACGTCCTTATGTCCTTCGTTCAGCAAATGATCAAAGATCAGATTTACTAGCTTCCTCCTCAGCTTCTCTCTGTTCCTTTACTTCTGAGGCACAAGTGTACACGTTCTGATCTTGGCTCCTCTACCATCTCATCCCGCAAATGCGCACGGAGCACCTGCTACACATCGGTGGTACACTAGGCTCTGAGATGCTAACGTCGATGAAACAAAGCCTCTGACCTCAACGGGGTCCAACCCAGTCCCTGCGCTGCATGTTCCCATACAGCACATGTTGAAAGAGAAATGCTCATTGAAGTACGACATATTCACTTACTGTCGAACCTAGAAAAATGGTACAAAATGTATATGAGCTATTCTAACACAATCAAGACTCCTTTGAGAATATACAGACACGAAATAAAAGGATGAGGAATCTCATGTCTACAACCCAGAAGACATCCTCCAGAGACAGTCCTGTTCATGCCAGTTTGGGGTGGGAGAAGCAGGGTGAAGGAAGGTGCCCAGCTGGACCAGTCACTGGGGTGGGCACCCTTGGGGCCTCAATCCCAGCTCTCCTCCATGAGTATCAGAGCTGGACAGAGAACGCACATTAAGCCCCTTCTCTTTACCCACAGACCCTCTGCTTGCCCGGGGAATGTGATCGGCCACGACTCCAGCCAGAAACCTGAGTGAGCGACCCAGACTCCCCTCAGTGAACGTGAAAACATTTTTTTCAAAATGCACTGAAGCGAAGTTTGCACTTGGAAACAAACAACTGAAAAATCACCTCTGACAACCAGAAGTAATTTATAACTTCTTTTAGCAGAATCATGGTAAACTAATTGTCTGAGCAGAAGGGAAAAAGTACTTTATTGTATATTCTTAAAAGATACAACCAATAATAATATGAAATGCTAGCTCCCAACTACTGCTTTCAATATTCTTAGGGGAAACACATTTGCTTTTAATTTAAGGAGTGGTTGGACCTTGGGAACTCAAACTTGGTTTACAATTTCAGCACTTTAGTTCACAGAAGATACTCTGACAAATAATTTTTTTCTCATAAAAAATCATCATAATGAATTCTCACCAGATTTTTAAGTAAACATTGTACGGTAAATATGAATAACTTTTCATATGGGTGTTATCTCAGGTTAAATAAGTATTATCTCCTATTATGAACAAAATGATTTAGAATTCTTATTTTTTAACACGTAGGCCCATTGCAGAGACAGCAATATTTAACAAATTTAAGCTAAGCCAATTTTTGCATATCCAATGAGTAAATAACAAGACAAATAAATCTTCTAATGATAACAATGGGCATGTGTTCTCAATCTCCATATTCTCTAATGAAATGTAATACATTAAGCCAACCAATGACATAATTCGTTCTACAGTTAAACAAATTTATCTAAAATCTAGAATGACCTAATTGCCTGTCTTTAATAGATATTTCAGTTTTCAACTAATTAAATGTCTTCATCTAAGAAATAATTCCAGAGAAGAAGGAAGAGAGAGACAGGGAGTGGGTTTAAGGGAGGAATACACCAAATCAGAATAAAATTACATGTAAATCATGGCCTAAGTTAAACCAAACAGCTCAACATAGAAGACCCATGTTGAGACCTTCAAAAAAATTAATTGGGTAAAAGAGGGTATGTGCGTTAAAAGTCCTTTCAGGGCCATGTATAAAACATAAAACTGAATTCCACTTAGAATTCTATCTCTAAGAATTATATCTCCATTAAGAATTATTTCTCTAATTGTACCTCTAATATTCTCTAAATCATGAATGTAATGCTCCACCCATAGACTAGACATAGCTAGTATTATAAAAAAAAAAAAGTACAGGGACTCGAGAAGATAATAATAATAAACGAGCATTTTAAATGAAGAAGACCCCTCACCTTCCCTAGATAGAAAAGAAAGCAAGAAAACAAATACACGAGCCTCAGTCCTCCCAGCATGTTGTATCTGGGTCAGCGCCAAGTATCACAAACCACATTTGATATTTTGTGTTTTTGGCTGAGTGACACCAGAATGTCTTCGAGGGGAGGGGCGGGGAGAGAAGGAACTTAGAAAATGGCCAACAAGAGCTTTCCAGGGTCCAGCTATATCGTTTCTGGTTGCGATCAAGACAATATTGGAAGCAGTTCAATTAAAAAAAACACATCAATGCTACATGGAGGTAGCAGCCGAAAACACGCCCCAGGGAATGTCAAGCTTGGAATGCTCTTGGCTCAGGCTGTGGAACATTAGCCTCTTACCGGTCAGCAGACGTGGAAGAACGTGCACCTACACTAGACCACAGTAGCGAACAGCACGGTTTCTGCTCTCTGAGCGCGCACAGCCCATTACAGGCTTTATTTAGCTCAAGAGGGAAGAGAACGGGGTTAACTCTACGTCAGAAGACAGCGCCTAAAACGTGAAGGCAGATGGAATCAGGACGCTCCTTGAACCCGGCTCAGCACGTTAAAATCAGTCCCTGTCTATGAAGACACTGCCGGGACTGCTGAGGAGGTGGCAGTGAACACTGTCCTGCTGTAAAGTGTCAGCCTGTCCTTCATGGCCACTCCCCCGAGAAGGCTGTGCTGTCAGGCTGCCTTCTAGCACAGTGCTCCACTTTGGAGGAGAAGTTGCCCATCCTCTAGGAAACCACCTTGCTGAGAGGTGTTTAGTTTAGCACAGTGATTTAGCTTAGATAAATGGATGGGGCTTTTTTTTATTTATTTTTTTGCAAAAGATTTCTCCCTAGCCTTATACGTTTGACTGCTATGAGGCGAAATACAGTAAAAACTGTTCAGTTTAGTTTTGACCAACATTAAACCTAAATTTGATGTAATTCTTGTCAGTCTTCACGCCAGAACATTTTTAGATACTCCCGTCAGAAAAATTAATAACAATAAAGGTAAAAAATTATACAGATTATATAGACTAAGTAAATACAGAGTAATTAGTATAGGAAATAGAAAGAAAAATGATCTTTTTAAAAAGCATATCAATAAGTCATCCGTAAGTGACTATGAAATCGTTACCTCTGCTCTCTGTGTTCTGGGAAAAGCGGCTGATTTTTCTATGGCGTAGACCTCCACCAGGTAAAGGCAGGCTCCCTGCTCCCGGTCCAGAATGGCTGCGGTCTGAATGATGCCCGTCTGCCGTCCGATCGTGAAGAGACGGCCGACGGCTTTCTCCTCGCAACGAACTGAAACGATGTAATACTCCACCGGGGCTTCCGAGCCCCTGGGGCTCGCCGCTTCTATCGATATTACATTGGTACCGATGGGTTCTCCTTCCTTCAAAATGGTTATGTACTTGGGCTGAGTGAAAACAGGTCCATCGAGGCCCTGAAGAATGACGGTCAGTTCAGTGGTCGATTTCCTCCTCTCAGGACCAAGGTCTGTTGCTGAAACAATGAGGTTGTAGATCAGCTGCGAAGGCACCAGCGCGGAAGCCACTCTCAAATCCCCGCTGAAACGGTCCACGATGAAGGTGTCGGTGTCCCCGTTGAGGATCTCATACTCCACCTCTCCGTTAGCACCTTCGTCTGGGTCGGCGGCCGTGATGGTTGTCAGAACAGAACCAATCACAGCCGACGGGTCCGCGGCAAGGGCGTTCTGTGATATAAACATCGGGACGTTGTCATTGAGGTCTGTGACCAAAATGGTCACGTTTTTCAGAGCATACCGTCTAGTCTCGATAGGCACCGCCTGGTCGCTGGCTTTCACGGTCAACTCGAAGAGACTGGCAAATTCCCGGTCTATTTCGGCATCGGTGTAGATAGTGCCTTTGACTTCATCTATGCCGAAGTGGTTGCCCCTTGGCATCTGCTGAATGATGGTGTAGGAGAGCTGCCCGTTAATGTCTGCGTCGGGGTCATGGGCGGTCACTGAGATGACAGACGTCCCAACGGGAACGTTCTCGGCAATTGACTTGAAGATGTCCCCAGGAGGAAAGCTAGGCGGGTTGTCATTAAAGTCCCTCACGTGTATGACCACGGACATCGTAGATGAACGAGGAGGCCTTCCTTGGTCTTTGGCTGTTATGTTTAATTTGTACAAAGACTGTGTTTCAAAGTCCAATTTTTTGGCGAGAAAAATACTCCCAGTGTTTGGGCTAATGCTGAAAGTTCCGTGGTTGTTAGTCCCAGTAATACTGTAGTGTAAGTCAGCATTGTCACCCGAGTCTGAATCGGTCGCGGTTACAGAGGACACCAGCTCACCGATTCTCATGTTTTCCAAAACATCGACAAATAGTGTCGATTTGGGGAAAGAGGGGGTATTGTCATTTTCATCTAAAATATCAATATTTAAGGTACAGGTTGAATTGAGGGAGATCGCCCCTGAATCCACTGCTTGAATGACAAGGGAATAGGCAGCTGTTGCTTCATAATCTAATTTGCCAATTAGGGTCACCTGACCGGAAGTGCTGTCTATAGCAAACTGTCTTTCTTCATTTCCTTTCATGACAGAATAACGAATAAGTCCATTACTACCTTCATCGACATCGGAGGCAGACACCCTTAAAACCTGTGTCAAGTTGGCTGCGGACTCTGATATTGTGGCTTGGTAAAAGTCTTTTACGAATTTGGGGGCATTGTCGTTTATATCCTTCATGTAAACATGTACCGTGGCCTGATCCTTGAGGGGCTGCGGGAGCCCCCGATCTGTCGCGATGACTGTAAAGCTAAACACTGCAGTCCCTCTGCGCCTCATAAGAGACTCCCTGTCTAAGTGATGAGTGTTTGTAATTTCCCCACTAACGGCATGCAACTCAAAATCTGGCTGCACCATTTCAAAAGAATACCTTACTTCTCCATTTGGCCCAAAGTCTTTATCTACGGCACTTACTTTGCCCACAAATGACCCAGATTTCTGCTCCTCTTCAAAATAAAACGTGTAATTGGTGCTGTTAAAAAGAGGTCTGTTATCATTTACATCTTCCAAAATCACAGTAACATTCACAGTAGCACTAAGGGGCTCCACTGCTCTGTCAGAAGCAACAACCAGTAAAACATATCTGTCTTGAAGTTCACGGTCCAGTTCACTTTTTATATACAACTGACCGTCTGGGAATATGCCAAAAGCGTCCCCTGTATTTCCTTCAGCAATACTGTATGCAATTTCACCATTTGCTCCCGAATCCTTATCGAAAGCTTGCACTTTAAAGAATCGAGAATTCACAGGTTCTGACTCAGAAAGGGTGACCTCGTAAGACAGCTGGTCAAACACTGGCGGGTTGTCATTGACATCATGGACGTGGACCGTTAAGATCAAACTGGAGGAGAGCTGTGGCACACCCATATCCGATGCCAAGATCTCCATCTGATAGGAACCCGCGTGGACATCCAGGGGCCCTAGCAGACTAATGCTACCGTTCTTTTCATTGATGGTAAACAGGTTCTTGGGGTTTTGCTTCAGGCTATAGAATACCATGCCATTGACACCCTCATCAGGGTCCACGGCTTTGGCTTGGAAAATGCTGTGACCTGCCTGCCAATTCTCCACCACATTCACACTCTCCACCGCCTGAAGGAAATGCGGAGAGTTGTCATTCAGATCCTTAACTGTGATGTTAACCATGGTGTCTCCAGTCACCGTGCCCCCGCTGGCCACTACTTTCAGCTGATAAAAGGACTGCTCTTCTCTGTCAATCATACTTGCTGTGGTAAGCTGCCCAGTGACCCGGCTGATAGCAAACATACCTTTCTGATCCCCAGTAGTAATGAGATAACTGATGTTGGAATTGAGGTCCATGGTGGATGCAGACACACTACCCACGTGGTACCCCAGAGCCACATTCTCAAAGACCACGAAGCTGTAGGCAGCCTGACTGAACACAGGTGGGTTGTCCTGAGTGTCCAACACAGTGATGGTTACTATGGCCTGGTTGGAGGACTGTAAATTGCCACCGTCAGTAGCCACGATCTGCAGCTGGTAAGCTGTCTTTTCTTCTCTGTCTAGGGCCATTCTTGTAGAAATAACCCCACTCTGAGCACTGACCTGAAACCGAGACCTGTCCCCAGCTGATATACTGTATTTGACAGTTCCATTGAGACCCAAGTCGGGGTCAGTGGCAGACACTGTGGTGATGTAGCTACCTCCAGGTTCATTCTCCTGAATGCGAGCAAAGTACTGGACTGGGTAGAACACGGGGCTGTTGTCGTTCAAATCCAGGAGGCTGACATTTACGCGCGCCACCGAGGACTGGGGAGGGGAGCCCAGATCTGCGGCCAGAACCAACAGGGAGTAGAAAGCTTGCTCCTCTCTGTCCAGGGAGGAGACGGTACTCAACCTCCCAGACACAGGATCCAGGCGGAAGGACCTCTGGTCAATCTCAGCCTCTTGCAGGGAGAAGCGCACTGTCCCATTGTCACCCAGGTCCCCATCAGTTGCCCCAACCACCAGCAGTTCTGTCCCCGCTGGGGCATTCTCAACCACAGACACGTGATACCCTTCTGGCTGGCTAAACACTGGCTTTTCATCATTCACATCCAGGAGAGTTACTACAAGCTGGGCGTAGGAAACCTTGGGGTGAACGCCCTGGTCCCGAGCACTGATATTCAGTACAATCTGGGATGCAAGTTCCCGGTCCAAGCCTCCAGCAGCCCCAGTAGTCACCAGGCCGCTGTGTTCACTGATATGGAACCAACCTAGTCCATTGCCAGAGACGATGCTGTAACGCAGATTCGCATTGAGGCCCGAGTCGCCATCGGTGGCAGACACCCCACTCACATAGCTTCCCGGGGGCGCCTCCTCGCTCAGGTTCACTCTGTACACTTGCTGTGCAAAGACGGGAGGGTGGTCATTGATGTCATTGACGAAAATCACCAGGCTCGCCACAGAGGAGCGCGCCTGGACCCCTGCGGCAGGGGGCGCCCCGGAGTTATCCGAGACGGACACCGTGAGGTTGTAAGACGGGATGCGCTCGCGGTCCAGGGCGCTGGCCACTTTGATGAGGCTCAGGTTCGGCACTTTGCTGCTCTGCACCTCAAAGTGGCGCTGCTCGTTGCCCCCGAGAATCTGCACGGAGATGTTCCCGTTGGCCGCGGGGGAGTCTGCGTCCGTCACGGTGAGCAGAGCCACCACAGTGCCCACCTGGGCGTTCTCGTCTACCGAGGCGTAGCGCGAGGTGGCAGGGAAGTAGCGGAATTTCACCACCGGGTCATTATCGTTGACGTCCAGCAGCTGAATGAGCGCCTCCGCGCGCCCGGTGAGGGAAGGCACGCCTCGGTCCAGAGCCTGCACCGTCAGCGAGTACTGGCGCCGGGCCTCGAAGTCTAGGGGCTCCCGCACCGTGATAAGCCCCGTTTCGGGGTCCATTTGGAAGGGGGTCCCCTCGTCCTGCAGCCGATAGCGAATGTCCGCGTTGGTGCCCTCGTCCGCGTCCGCCGCTGCCACCTGGAGGACGCTGGAGCCCACGGCCGCGTCCTCAGGCACCCCCGCCTGGTAGTGGGAACTGCCAAACACCGGGGGGTTGTCATTAATGTCCTGCACGGTCACGTTTACCTGAAGGTAGCCCCGCCGCCGGGGCTCGCCCTTGTCCTCCACTTGCACCAGGAGCTGGTACTGCGGCGTGACCTCGCGGTCCAGTCCGCCCTTGGACACCAGATGCAGGAAGGCGCCCTCGCCGCTCGGGCTCAGCGTGATGTCCAGGCGGAAGCGACCCGCCTCGTTGCCCTGGATGATGCGGTAGGAGCGGTGGTCCACGCCATTGGAGCCGATGTCCGAGTCGGTGGCCGTATCCAAAATGACTTGGCGCCCGCTGCTACTGTCCTCCTTGAAAGTGACCACGATCGAGGGGTCCGGGAAAACGGGGGCGTTGTCATTGAGGTCCCAAACCAGCACGCGCACCTCGGTGGGGTAGGTGGGCGAGCTGGAAAGGACCACCAGGTTGATCACGTCGCTGGGCAGGCTCTCGCGGTCGATGGTGGCCGTGGTGTACAGGGTCCCCGTGCTGCTGTTGATGGCAAACAGGGCGTGGCTTTCGCTGAGCCGGTAGGTGAAGCCGGGGCGCGTCTGGATGGTGCCCACCAGCGTGCCGGGAGGCTGCTCCTCCAGCACTTGGAACACCTGGCGCTGCTCGGCCCCGCCGACCCGGGCCGGCCCCGGGAGCAGGGACAGCAGCCCGAAGACGCGAAGGAGCTGGAGTACGGACGGGGTGGGCAGCGGGAGCCACGGGCGGCCAGGAGCCCGGCCGGCGGCCAAGTTCATGGTCCTGGCTCCTTGGAACGGTGTGGTCAAGAGAAGGACGATGCGAAGCCAGAAGAATGCTGATGACCAGGACCGAGCAGTCCCAGCAAAAACGCGGGCGATGGCTCTGAGCGCTCCGCTGTTTCAAAGACACTCCAGCCCGGCAGAAACAAGTGGCCTCAGCGAAAAGGCTCCAGGTAGCCAGCCATTCGGACGGGTCGTGCCAGAGAGATGCGGGGACGGAAGGCGGCCGGGCATTCCGCGGGGCGCTCCGGAGCGCTGAGGAGTTCCAAAAAGTTCCCCAAACCTCCTATACTTCCCCCTCCGCGTAGCTTTCGAATCCGGAGCCTGAGCGTTTCCGCCGGGCTGGAAGTGAGCTGCGAGGGGTGGCCTGTTTCTAAGGGGTACGAGCCGTCACTGCAAACGCCGTCTTCAGAAACTTTGGAGCTTACGCGCCGCCCAGGGACGGGGGAAGCGCCGAGGGGCGAGGGCCAGTAGGGAGCCGGGCGCTGGCAGAATTCCTTGCCCAAAAGCTGGCGACCAGGGGTCTCCTCGAGCCCCCGCTGCTCGGGAACCGGCT